GCCCAGCTGTATGGACAGCACCTCCGCCATGGCCCTCCCCACCCTCCCCCTTGTCCCCATACTCACCTTCTGTTGGTGCAGGGCGACCCTTCCCCGCTGGCTTTCACACAGGGCTGAACCTGCCTCCTCATTTCACAGGTGCTGAAACGTTCCCATTGAGCTTCCGCGGCTCCCACCTCCAGGGCGGCCCTTCCAGACCCTGAAGTCTTGCTTCTGCCCCAAGGAGCCAAAAGGTACCAGCTGCACCTCAGACACCATTGGGGAAGTTCTCCATCCCTTAAATATTCACCCAGTGGCGGGAATGCTGTCAGGATCAAGACAAAATTTCTTCCTACTCTAAGGAGTAGAAATAGACAGAGGCTGCCATCGGCGTTCATGATGATGACAGCCACGGAGGCCACCATTCCGTAGCACACAGGGCCACCTGAAGTTAGAACTGGCAGCGTTTTGAGGGGGTGAGAGAGATTAAGTGTGCCTTTGAAGAGGTGACACTTGCCTGCAGGCCAACTTAAAGGAGGGAGAAAGGCACGGGTGGCCCAGGACTAGACGTACTCACCAGCTAATTGTGTCCCTGTGTCACCTGTTCAATGGGCAGGGAGGAAAGTTCCTACAGTGCATGAAGTCTGAGGTCAGTGAGCGTTCAATAAAGGGTTTTATGATCATCATTCCTCTGTGCGAAGGCACAAAGCACACACGGAAAACAAACAGGGCCATCCTCCAAACAGGGTCTCAAAGGATCGGCTCAAAATCACCTTGTATTGCAGAGGAAATAGATGTCATTTAAGAGGGATGGTGAGGGAAAGCCTGCTCCGAGACTGAACTTGAGATGGCAAGTGGATTTCACTAGGTTTCAGTGGACAGACAGCGCCGTCCTTAGACAATGACTGGCTCCTACACGTTGGTGACGGGAGCACTGGTGGCACAACAGTTTAATGCTCAAGTGCTAACCTAAGATTGCCGGTTCAAGCCCGCAGAGAGGCTCTGTGGGAGAAAGGCCTGGTGATCTGCTCCCATAAGGACTGCTGCCTAGGGAGACATGGATAGACAGTTCCCTAAAGATGACATCCAGGCAGCCAACAAGCATATGGAGAAATGTTCTCGCCCATCAGCCATAAGAGAAACGCAAATTAAAACAGCAATGAGATACCACCTCACACCGACACTCTTAGCAAAGTTGAAAAAATAAATAACAGAGGCGGGAGAGGATGTGATGTGGAGAGGTTGGACCGTTCATCCATGCCCGTGCGATGGCGGAGGTGTACAACCACGATGGAAGTCGGTACGGCACTTCCTGAGCCAAATGCAAAGACAAAAACCTTAGGATCCTGCCATCTCTCTCCTTCCTCTCTACCCTGAAGAAGCAAACAGCAACACAGGAACAGACATGTGCACACCCATGTTGATTGCAGAAAGTTCTATGACGCACAAAGATGGAAACAATCAAACACCGGCTGTGGAGGAACGGATAAACAAGCTCTGGTATAGTCCCACAGTGGAATATTATGCATCCTTAAAAACAGTGATGGGTCAGTCAAACCCTCAAGACAGGGACAAAACTTGAGAGAACATTACGCTCGGCAAGGTTAGTCAATCTTAGATTTTACGACAATTATTATAAAGGAAGAAAGGAAAAGAAAGCCTGGTCTCC